CCTCGGTAGTGGTGGACTGCCTCCATAATGGTGGACACCCTTCCCCCCACAGAGCTGGACCATCCCGGGTCTAGCTGTGCTTGCTGTAAAACTCCCAATTCAGAGCATTTCAGATTGCTGGTCTTTGTGGGGGTGGGACCTGCCAAGCCAGATCACCTGGCTCCCTGTTTCAGCCCCCTTTTTTCAGTTTAATGGGCGACCCTGTCTCCTAGGCATTCCAGGTGCCAGTTGAAATGGCCACCCAGATTTGTGTGAGTTTTTGTGCAGAGACCTGCTGCGCTGGCTGAAACAGCTGTGCTGGAAACTTGTGGCGCTTTTCCACCCAGGAATCTCCTGGTCTGTGGGCAGTAAAAACTCGTTTGGAAATGCGGTGATCACTCACCCTCTGCATTCTCACTGGGAGCTGCACTCCAGAGCTGTTCCTATTCGTCCATCTTGGATCCTCCCCCTACCACCCCAAACCTCCCCCTCCCCCAGCACTCTATACTTTTAAAAGTTGAAATAACAACCAGGAGAGATAGGGAAAACCCAACTGGCTTTTTAAAAAATGAATACATGTCAAAGATTTTATGTTAGGCATTAATAATTAATTAACTGGCAGAGTAAGATGTTACAGCCAGTCCAAAGGAAAATCCAGAATAGACACATACGTATAAGCAATGGAGAATGTGAAAATGAATTTGTTAGCAGACACACAGCTGGCTTCTCCCATGGGCAGGGTGGGGTGTGGGGATTAGGTATGTCTTCACTGGACAAGATTTGTTTACAATAATACCAGTATTCTTTTCAGTTGTGAATAGGTTAGTAAAGATACTGAAAGGTGTAGTCCCCTGTAGAATCTGCCCAGAAGAGTGTGCTAGACAATACCTGAAGTTCCACTAAAAAGATACCCAGTGATCTCTTTTTGCCCGTTGCAAGTCTTTCTCAGTTTACCTGACTGTGCTTCCCCCCTCCGCCCCTGTGATCATTATAATCTCAGTGATTACCCTTCATCACAAAAAAACAGGCTAGTCTTAAAAGGTTAGGCCTAATTGTTTATATTGGTACAGTAAAGAGTGTTAATTAACCAGATAGGCACTCAGATTTGCTTTGTATATACAGAGCCACGCATTATTCAACAATTTTACAGTAAGCCCACAAAATTCACTTCTGCCTGGAACTTTTTATAAAAAATCTTGGACTGGACTTTTTTTTTTTTTTCTTTTGAAACAGAGCCTTGCTCTGTTACCCAGGCTGGAGTGCAGTGGTGCGATCTTGGTTCATTGCAATCTCTGCCTCTTGGATTCACCCAGGCTGGAGTGCCATGGTGCAATCTTGGCTCGCTGCAATCTCCACCTCCTGGATTCAAGCAGTTCTCTTGCTTCAGCCTCCCAAGTAGCTGGGATTACAGGCATGCGCCACTATGCTCAGCTAATTTTTGTATTTTTAGTATAGATGGGGTTTCTCCACATTGGTTGGGCTGGTCTCAAACTCCCAAAGTGCTGGGATTACAGGTGTGAGCCACCGCAGGACTGGACTTCTCAAAGCCTCTATTATATGCCATACCAAGGCTAGAAAACCAAGCCCAAGAAACTCTACCATATTTCACCTACAACACTTGCAACAGTTGAATTCCTCAAAGTTTCCACCATTTGCTAGGTTCTTGGCCTGGTATCTTCCTTACTAGCTGTAAGGCCAGGACCCTGCAAATCAGTTACCAGGCCAGTTTTCCTGGGAAGGCTTTATAAGCCTTGGCTCCATGAGTTCTTAAAGTGGCTAGTCATATCTGATTCAGTGAGCATCATTTTCACATATGACACGCCAGGTTATACAGTTGATTTGCCCAATTATATCTTGTAGATAGATTCTCATTGAATCGATGCAAATAACTATGTTTCCATGAAAATTAAGGAGTCTCTGTAACAGTTTTTTTTTAATTCTGGGCAATCAAAACTGGATATCATTTCTTAAATGTTTTGATTTAACTTATAAAAATAGAGTTTATGAAATTGTGGGTTAGAGATAGCTTTAAAATAAAAGGCATCCTCACATATCCAGAAAATAGAACATTAAAACAGCATCAACAGTATTCCAGACAAATAACCACAATAAAATTTCCCCCTTCAGTTCATTCAGTTCTATGAATGAACTGTAATTAATTCTTGTTCTGATGGTTCTTGGTTTAGCAGTTCACATTCATGAAGCCATCTGCATCCAGACTAAAAAGAGTCCAGAAATGCAAGGAAATCCTGACTGAATCCACTGGCACAGCTTATAAATTTTCTAAGCAATGGCAGCTCAGCGGCCTGTGCCAAAGAGTCGGTTCTTTGAAATATCAATATTTTAAAATACCTAGTACAAATAGTTCTTTTCCATGAAACTCTGAGGCCGTCTTTTATTGAAGTCACAAACTCTACTTTATAGCAGAGCCCTTAGGCAAAGATGAGAATAATGCAAAATTATCTACAGATTACAGAGATTTAGTGATTTAATGGTTAATTTGTAATTGTGATCAATGATATCAGAATGAGGGAAAGTAAAATTCCCCATTGAGATATGCTATATAACTATTTCCTAAGAATTGTGATTAGTATTTCTCCAAGGGTAGAAACATATTATAGACAATAATGACATTGGGAAATCGCTACAGTCTTCCAATAAAACATATAATTTCTGAAATACTAATAAAATTTGTTACTGACTTAATCTGGAGCAAGCTGAGCATCCCTTCTGATCTGACAATTATTGTGATATACTCTTAAAATAGTAACACATCAAACAAATGCAATTATTTATAGCATTTCTTTTTAAAAATTTTTTTCTTCTTTCAGACAAGGTCTTGTTCTGTCACCCATGCTAGAGTGCAGTGGTATGATCACAGTTCACTGCAGCCTCAACCTTCCAGGCTCAAGCAATCCTCTGATCTCAGCCTCCCTAGTAGCTGGGACTACAGGCGTGTACCACCATGTCTGACTAATTTTTTTTATTTTTGTAGAGACAAGGTCTCGCCATGCTGCCCAGGCTGGTCTCAAACTCTTTGGCTCAAGCAGTCCTTCTGCCTCAGCCTCCCAAAGTGCTGGGATTACAGGCATGAGCCACTGTGCCTCACCACATTTCTCATCTTTATGGTTTTCCAGGACCTCTCTGGGAAATCTCAGAGAGTTTCAGGCATAAACCACATCCTAAAAATTTCATTTTTTCAAAATAGAGGGTTCAGTTTGAAAAGTCATCAAGGGAATTTTAAGTAGGGTAAGATAGGAGCACAGGTGCTCAAGAAACAATACCTGGTTATCTGTATATTCAAAGCATTAAAACATTTTAAAATAAATGTAGATGATAACACAATTTTAAATAATTTAAAATTCTTTTCACAAGTGAGTACTCCTTGTTCTTTTTTAAATCAAGAACATTAATCAAGTTAATATAAAGCACTAAAAATGATTCTGATGAGACACAGAATTTCTGCTAGCTAGGCAAACTCCACATAAGATAAAGAATATCCTTTCACACTGTAGGCATTAATCAGTAAACTAAGGAAGCAAGCCATCAAAACTGAGGGAACTTAGCCAAAATTGTAATGCATTTTATAGCTTTTTTTTAGACTATTACAAGCCAAAGCAAGTAAAACTCACTTTCCAAGTTTTGTCCTTCATTTTTTCTCTTACATATCCCAGAACAAACTGACATTTTAGGATTGCCCTTTTCATCCTCATTCTCTCAAAAGTATACAGTGGAGTTTTCCAGAAGCTACATGATAAGCGATATTATGATTATGATAAATGTAGAAAGAGATGATTATCCAGCTCTCCTATTAAGTCAGACATTAGAAAGACTTGCAAAAATAGTGAACAATGTCATTTTTCTCACCAAAATTTTTTGTTTTGGAAAATATATATTTTTTACAGAATACGTGACCTATGTTAAAATGAAATGGATTCATCATTTCTATTTTTAAATGAATATTTTAAAAATTTCTCAGTTTTAATTGTAAATATAGTAAATAACAATCATTATCGCTTATTAAACCAAAGCTCTTTGGTGTCCTCAAGTAAGTTTTAAGAGTATGAAGGGATTGTGAGAACCAGAAAGTTCAAGAACCACTAGTTCGAGACAAAACTACTCTGTTTTTCTTTGAAAAACAAAATGCAGACATCATTGTATTTCTTTTTCATTATTGCTTCTGGCGTAATCTCAATCACCCATTTAAATTATAATAATTAACCAAAGAAGCTAATTTATATTTCACAGAGAAAATTAGGAGGAGGGAGGATATGGACAATTGAAAATCATCCCATATAATCATTTTAGCAGACTAGCAAAACTCATGAACACACATTACTGAAATTTCCATAGTGACATAAGGTATCTTTACATTCCCTTAAAGTGGTAAAAAAAAAAAAATGAACTCATTTATTGACTCAACCAAAGGTGTAGCCTCACTATAGCATAGAAAAATAAGCAAACATATATAAACTTAATATTATACTTTATAATCAAAGTCACAGTATTCTAACTTACTTAGAAATTATCTAGGTATCCAATGATTATTGATTAGCTCAAGTTAAGATTAGTCCATTTTATTACGTAAAGATCTTGGAAATTATCTTTAAGTTGATATGCTACGACACATAATTGCTACTCATATAAAAAGTTTGTCAAAATAATTATTCAATTCAGCTGAATACAAATTTATATTTTTAATAATTTTAAACATTATGTATGAGCTCATTTGACCAGCTATCCTGAATAAATTTAGGAGAAATAAACCCACATAAAATAAAATGCACCCTTGTATTCTGCTTTAAAACCTATATTACTAGTCTCATTTGCCAAATGAAACTTAATTTTATGAACTTGGATTCTTAAAATATTACTGATTGGCTAGCAGTTTTTATTAAAATAATTTTTATGTTAAATCTAGCAGGTTCAAAATAGTAGAAGTTTGATCTGTGATTTTAGGAGGATTCAATTTAAAAAGCACTTGTTTATCTCTATCAGTCAGAATAAGTTCTTTTAATTTAAAAGGTATCATAATCCAATGTATTGACCCCCTCTACAACAAGTAGGAAAGCATTCCACATACAGCAAGAGGTGAAGGCTTTTCTGGATTATAAACACATAGACACACAGAGCTTAATAGCTTTAGTTTTTCAACTTCAGCCACAGATCAAGAATAAACAGAAACACAAAAAAATCACCAGTCCAGATATCAAAGAGCTGTTCTCCTTCCCAGTAGAAACACAATTCTTCATTGATCTGAGCTCAAAATAGATGAACATCCCCCCTCCAAAAAAAAAAAAAAAAAAGATCAAGAAACTTCTCTCACCCAACAGAGAATGAATCTCTGTAAATCCATTGTTAGTGATCACTCAGACCATAAAACTAAATTCTCCATCATTTTTGCTGCCAAGAGGGAATAACTTGTCAGCCATGCACAAACTAGAAAGAAAAATAAAACAGAATCAGGAGAGAGGGAATAAAAACTAGAGAAATGTAGAGCCTGTGACATTCAAGTCTGTTACTGCTATGGATTCACTCTGGGAGCCAAGAAAAGGCAGGCACAGCTGGTCCCAAGCCACCTGTGAGATGCACACCTTGGGTAACACAGTTTACCTGGCTGTGTCAGGTAAATCCAGTGGGCGTCTCGACGGATGACCTCCAAAACTCTTCAAGAATAATTTCTTAAAAGGGAAAATGATGACTCTTGAACAAATATAAAATGAACACCTTAAGTGTTATAACTGACAAATTACCTCGTCTTAGGGCCTGAGCATGTCAAGGAGCATTCAGACTTATTTTAAATCCTGGACACTCTCCTGACCTTTAGCATGCTGAAAGTTCCATCAGGTTTTTAAGATCTACACTTGGGGCTAGTGAGTGTGCACATTGGCTGACTTTGCTGAGGTTTCTGCTGTAAGGCCTTGCATTTGTTCTCCTAGTCAGTAACCCTTGGTTTCTTTCACAGCGACAAAGTCCAGGCCCTCTCCTATGCACAGCATACACGGCAGCTGATCTCCTGTGGCGGGGATGGTGGGATTGTCGTCTGGAACATGGACGTGGAAAGGCAGGAGGTAAGTGGCACAGCAGGGTGGGGTGGGCCCGGTGGTTCTGGCCCTGCCTCCCTTCCTGCTTATTTCTTATTTCTTTTATGATTAAACCATGAAATAAGGCATGGAATGTCAAAGAATTAGAAATTATAGCATAAAAGGAGTTGTTTGAGTTGGGGTTTTTTTTTCCCCCCCTCACAAATTGGCATGTAACATTACTGTGATGGAGATTTCATAAGAATTTTGACTGAGACTAAGCTGTTTAAATCTGTTACACCATTCGCAGCAAAAGTACAGGTGAGAAAAAGAAACCATCTATTTCCTGATGATTAGTCCTTTGGTATAAAATGCCCTACAAAAGCAGAGGACTCATGTAATATATGTTGTGGGAGAAAATAGTGGCTAAGATGAAGCAAGAATCCTTAGTTTGGTATTAATAGAAATACTAGAAATAATTATTTTGTACTTCATAAATCATGTTCTAAATAGTTCCCTAGATATAAATATATCGTTAGTTTTATAGCATATATTTACATGTTATAAAAACATTCTTTTTTATGAGTTTTCATTTTCATCTTTGAGCATCTTAACGAATATGTTTCCTGCATATCTCCTTTGATAAGTACTTTGAAGTTAACTGTTTTCCTGTTACGTTAGAATTATTCTGGGTAGACTTTCCCTTTGATAAGGCACATTCTTTTAATTAATTTCTTGCAGGATGCAAGAATTAAATAGAAAAGCAACTCTTTAAAAAGACAAAAGGAGTCTCCCACTTTCTTTCCATGCCCTCACCCCAGTCTTATTTCAAGAGAGTAGTTGCTATTACCCACAATGTAATGCCTTTTCAAATGCCAGTAATTATATGCTTAAGAAGATTAAAGCTTTATGTGCTCAGATCTTAAGTCCATGGGAGTTCTATCAGTAACTAATCAAAATGATCATTACTGTTAAAAGGTGGGGAATTGTAGAACATTGCTTTTGAAAACTATACTTGGCACCATCAATATAAAGTCTGGGGATCTTTGCAGTGAGTGTCAGTCATGCTAACCAGGTTCCCTTGTGGCTGATGATTATGTCGTGAGTTGGTTCTGCATGGTAGCCTGCTTTCGGTTAGGGACAGTCACACCTGGGCTGTCCTGACTTCCTTCTGGGCCCACCTAACCAAACCAGGGGAGAGGAGAAGGACCAGATTCTTTTCCCTTGGTGCATGCAGTCTGGACCCTGTATGGACAGGGGCCAAAGGAGGATAACAGTGTGGTGTCCAGAAATGAAACCAAGTGGTTTATTGGCAGTTCTTTGAGCAACCTTGTTTAAATTATGCCTCTTGATATGCAGATATAGGGACACCTAATACTATTGACTAATTTAAAATCTTGTCCAGTGAGTCAACACTCTAAATAAGCAATGGAGATGGTTCCATTCATTTTTTGCAAGTTTTTAAAACATGTGTTTCCTGAGATTTTTGTTTTAATCTTAGCCTCAGTGGAGCTGCTTCCTGGTTATGATAAGTGCTGTGTGATGCTCACCTTGGGAGGTCTGAGACATATAATGAAGTCATCTCTAATTTGAAGTACCGATAGACTTTCTGGAAGAAAAGGCTTGTAGGAGGAAACTTCAGAATTGTATCAAATGGTGTAAATGATGAAATTATAGTTGATATATGCTAGAACATCAGTGCTGGGTATTTCAGAAGGGACATCTTTGGCTAATGTTCTCAGTGAAGGATTGATGGAGGAATATTGTGCTGAAGGATCAACAGGATCTGGATGTGTTTTGAGCAGGAGGAGCACATGGGCTTTGCAGGCCAAGAAACAGCAAGAGTAAGGACAAGGTTAACATGACAGGTTGATGCGGTCCATTAGTGCTTATGAACACTTTGCAGAATCAGTCAGAAATGAGAGGAAGGCAGCTAACTGAAAGATAAGGGCAGACAATGGAAGACCTTGAGTGGCTGGATGCAGATAGCGTGACATCCCGTAGGTTGAACAGTTGTTTTATACAGTTAACGAAATCCCATTTTTGTTAACTTTTAGTATTTTTTAAAAGTATACATTGTATATAATATTCTTGGTAGAAAAGTTATAAAAGGCTCATTAGTAAATAGAGAAGATGTCAGTTACTCATACTACCACCACCAAGAAATATCACTCTGAATGTGTTGGCAGACATCCTTCCTAACATTTTTCTCTACACGTAACATGTGTGTAAGACTCTTTTTTTTTTTTAAACAAAAAAACAGACTCACAAACATGCTGATTTTCCCCCCTTTATTCGTCCTTAACTCCTAAATGCCTCCTTACAGATACCCACTGTGATGCATTTGATGTGTGTCCTGAACACACATGCCTCATGCTTCCTTATAAAAGGGGTGTGTGTGTATGTGTGTGAAAGTTTACATAACTGGGCTGGGTGCAGTGACTCATGCCTGTAATCCCAGCACTTTGGGAGGCCGAGGCAGGTGGATCACTTGAAGTTAGGAGTTCAACACCAGCCTGGCCAACATGGTGAAACCCTGTCAACAATACAAAAAAATTAGCCGGGCATGGTGGCGCATGCCTGTAATCTCAGCTACTTGGGAGGCTGGAGCAGGAGAATTGTGTGAACCTGGGAGTCAGAGGTTGCAGTGAGCCAAGATCATACCATTGCACTCCAGCCTGGGCAACATGGCAAGATTCTTGTCTCAAAAAAAAAAAAAAAAAAAAGTTTACATAACTGATGTTCTATAAGTCTGGTTCTATTTCCAACTTTCATCATTGAACCCTTCTGGAATCTCCCATCCTGCTGTTTCTTGTGGTGCTTCTGCATAGGACCCCATAGTGTGTAGCAGTCACATTTTACTTGTTTCCCAAGCAAAGGGCATGTAGATTGGCACAAACTCCCTGATACCACACACAGTGCCCAGATGACCTTGTATGTGTTCCCTCAGAGACCTGCCCTGTGTGAGACTCTCAGGGCCATAAACCCAAGGGTGGGATCAGTGAAGGTATATTCTTGATTTTGCTACAAATGAGTACAGCTGTTTGGTTGTACATACAACCAAACAGCTGTACTCATTTATACTTCTAATGGAGAACAGGGCGGTTTCTGACACCTCACATCCTCAGCAATAGCTATTGTTACATCCTCTCTGTTTTTGCCCTTTTGGAGACAGAGGTAAAATAGCATCTCATTTTTATTTGTATTATCTGTTTAACAGTAGATTTGAGCATCTCTTATGAAGAGAGGCTCACTTTAGCAATTCAGACTTCCCTGACTGTGAGCTGCATGCTCATATCTTTTGTATCTTCTGCCAGTTTCTCAACTGTTTCTTGTTATTTCCATATTGATTTTCCAGGGGATTTTTGTATACAGTAATTTGCAGGAGTTGTTAGTTACAAACTTTATAAATATCTTCTCCTAGTCTCTCTTAACTTTGTGCTCTGATACTATTTAATAACCTGGGGGTTTTGTTTTAGTTTATTATGTATTGAACATGTTCCATGTCTTTAAATATTTGTTTTTGCTACATAATTTTAATGGTAATAAGCTGGTATTTGAGAAATTGTTTCACAAACAAACATTAATACTGCCCCCTCCAGCCTCATCCCTTGTTTCCTCCATCTGCACTCCAGCCATCCCGAAGTCTCAGTTGTCTTGTCTGAGAACCTCAGCCTGGGTCAGAGGCTCCTGTGATGCCTGATGCCTTGATCATATTCTCATGATGGTGGAGATTCTTATTTACCACTGCATCCCATCCCCAGGGCCTGCCACAGAATAGGCATTCAGTAAATATTTTTTGAATTATTGATTCAGAAATCACACCTCTGTTTCTTATAAACGCATCCTGATTACTCCATAAATTTCATCAGGGTCAGTGGTTCCATTGTCCTTACCGCTGGCCACTGTGACCTGTTCTGTGCTTTATTTGACAAGACCCCTGAATGGTTGGACAGTGATTCCTGCCAAAAATGTGATCAGCCTTTCTTCTGGAACTTCAAGCAAATGTGGGACAGTAAGAAAATTGGTCTAAGACAGGTGAGTGATATGGATGCTTCATCAAAATGTAATTGTGTGGAAATAGCTCAGCCCATGTGATCTTAGAAGAAATAACACCCCTGGGTGGGGGTTGTGGTGAGGGTAAATTATTACCCTGAAGTCACCTTGTGATTGTACAGTAATTTACTCTCCTTGTCTACCGTAGCTCATTCCTACTGGATTTGGTTTCTGGAGTGGGTGGTTTCCAGTAAACAGTTAGGGATATGATTTTAGAATTCTAGTGGCCATTACACCTTACAATTAGAGGTGTCATGCTTAGTTCATATGGATACCAAACCATGAAATTATATAAGTGGTGTTTCTCTCTCCTTAATTATTTTACTTTCCCTCTTTCTGATTAATTTTAGTTATTGAGATCTACTTATTATAATACTCAATCTAATTTCATGGTTCTGTTTGGTCTTCCCCAAGGAAATCAAATGTTAGGTCAGCTAGGCTTAGCATGGCCAAAGTCAGCAGATTGAATCAGGTTTCCTGCATGTTCTCCTTTAGCAGCATAATCTCCAGAGATGGCACTTTCTCATACACCCGCTTTAAGATCACCTGGTCACTAGGTGGTTCCTCTGTAGTTCCTAGTGTGATAATTGGAAAAGACCAAGAGGGAAAGCAGGCTGGGTGTGGTGGCTCATGCCTGTAATCCCAACACTTTGAGAGGCCGAGGCAGGCAGATCACGAGGTCAGGAGTTCGAGACCAGCCTGGCAAATATGGTGAAATCCTGTCTGTACTAAAAATACAAAAATTAGCCGGGCATGGTAGCCGAGGTCACCATGAGGCAGAAGAATCACTTGAACCCAGGGGGCAGAGGTTGCAGTGAGCCAAGAGTGTGTCACTGCACTCCAGCCTGGGCAACACAGCAAGACTCTGTATCAAAAAAACAAAAGAGTAGGGAAAGCAAGAGAGTAGGGAGGCGTCCGTCCCTGTCGAATGTGTTTCCCAGCAGTCCTTGTTGAATAAACAGAGCCCCAAATGAGAACACATCTAATGTGTTCCCTTTAGTTCTGGAGCCCTCTTGTTCAGCATCCTCACCTGGATGCAGTTAAGTATATCTCTGTCTGCCAGGAGGGGTGAGGAGCGGGGGCCTCAGGAGCCATGATGAGTGTCTATTTTCTCTCCCTTCTCCAGCACCACTGCCGCAAGTGTGGGAAGGCTGTCTGCGGCAAGTGCAGCTCCAAGCGCTCCTCCATCCCCCTGATGGGCTTCGAGTTTGAAGTGAGGGTCTGTGACAGCTGCCACGAGGCCATCACAGATGAAGAGTGAGTTCCCGCAGCCTGCATGCTGCTTCAGGTTGAGGCGAGGATGGAATCTGAGCACTGCGCTTGGTGCTGCAGCCATCACCTGGGTTGCTCTAGTTTCTGCTGGTTTAGAACATAGTCTGTGGCAAGCAGTACAAGTTGTCCTTTGCCACCGAGAGATTTGTGTCATCCTGTGAGACAGGAGAAGGGAAAATACACTCAAAGAATTCAGCTCTGTTTATTCCTATTTTCTAGGTTATGTGCCTTTAAAATAGGTGCTGTTAGAGCAAACTCTTCTGTCTGCTGATTTACTTGAGAATGGCCCAGGAGTATAAGGACCCAAGGTTCACTTTCTAGCACAAGCTGGTATCTCTACAGGAGTTCAGTGAGTCCACAGGGTCCAGAAAGTTCCATTTTCTTGGAAGAGCTAAGTTGCTTTACCTAAGAGGCAAATATTCCCAGTTGCCCAGTTACTCAGCTGGCTGCTTGTCAGATATGCCCAGTAACCCAGGACATAGGTTACTACCCCTCAGTGTGCTGTGGAGGGGTGCAAATCTGTGTTGTCTCTTTAACGTTGGCTCATTGAAAGCTGCTCCCAGATGTAAACACAGTGCTCTGCAACATTTCCCTAATTTTAGTGACTAACAGGAGGATCTGCAGGGTAGCTTGTCTTCCCAATCCTCCCAGCACCTGGTATTACAGTAAAATCGCAAGTAGTCTTACTTATCCATATCAAATATAAAATAAGATGCCCTTGCATAAGTATGCATCTATGTTCATTATTTCCCACTCATCATAGGTGATGAAATTAGTAAGAGGGTTCTTCTCATTGAATTAGGAAGTGAGAGAGACCTTAGAGATATTCTGCTTGAATTCTTCACTTTATAGCTAAAGAGATAGACCCTAAGAGTCTAAGGGACTTACAATTAAGCCTAACTCTTCTAAAAATTTAAAGTAACCATTTTAATATACTGAAGATCTATCCTGCAGATTTAGCTATAGAAAAAAAAGTTGTCCTGAGAGAGCCCCCTGCAGTGGAGTGGGTCCTGTGAAGCATGAGAAGAGCGCTGTCTCCTAGGCTGCACCCTGCGCCTTTCCCCACTTGTTTCCTCTGCCTCTTCTCTGAGGAAGCACTTGCATTGCCTCTGGAGCACTGAGGCAGTGGACAAGCCTTCTTACTTAAGAAAAAAAAAATTAAAAATGTATGTTAAAAAAAATCCAAAAATCATGATGTTTATTTTTTGTTTTGCATGTTACAGCTTTAGAATTATAGGAAAACCAAGTCTGCAGTCATACCAGTGAAAAAGGAAAAATGAATAGAGGTGGATAGTTCTCCAGTTAGAATGACATTTAGTAATATCATGGGACACTTAGTACTATCATGGTCTTTTTTTTTTTAATTAAATAGACAAAGGTAGACTATTTTACTGGCAAGTCCTTCTGAGCTCACACTTAGCAGAAGCACTGTGGTTTTTAAAAGCTCAGGTGGAGATTATCGCTATATTAGACACTATTGGAGCAAGACATTCTCCAGAAAGACTTTTGGAAATTGCATCTCTTTTCCATTTTAGTAAGAATCCTTATACTTTTTTTTTTTTTTTTTAATCATAACTTGTTGCTAGGGAATAAAGGGAGATCTGAGGAGCATTCCTATGAGTGAAGCAGTTTTAGCCATGAGGCCAAAATGTAGAGGCTAATGTCATCCTAGATCTCTTTCATTCATATGTCACCACCTTTTCCTCTCAGAAACTTTCTTTGCTCCTTCCAGACGTGCACCCACAGCTACCTTCCATGACAGTAAACATAACATAGTGCATGTGCATTTCGATGAAACCAGAGGATGGTTACTGACTTCTGGAACTGACAAGGTTATTAAGGTAAGATGCCATCTTATTAAGAAGCTTTCCATCTTTGGCCTCATATAAATACACAGGAGTACCAAGAACATGGGAAGTACTGCTCTAAAGGTTATCCTTGGGTAGCCAGGCTTGGTGGTATGTGCCTGTAGTCTCAGCTACTCAGGAGATTTAGGTGGGAGGATTGCTTGAGTCCAGGAGCTGAAGCCTACAGTGAGCTTTGATCACATCACTGCACTCAAGCCTGGGCAACGAAGTGAGACCTCATCTCTTAAAAAAAAAAGTTACCCTTGAAGGTGAGTGTTTTTGAGAGCCTGTTACAAACCTGCTATCTGATACATGCATAGCCTCATGCCAGGCACTGGCTCAACACAAAGAAATAAAACATAGCTCCAGCCTGCAAGGGATAGATAATCTACTTGACAGACTCTTTAAAAAGACTGTAATAGGTCACATGTGCGGCAGTCAAAACAGTAATACAGATGAGAATTTATAGCACACTGAGCTCTACCTCCCTGACCCATTCTTTGAGGTCACAACAGGATTAGGTGGCTAAAATAACCCACTTTGGAAGCTACCAGATCTTCATGACTTTGAGAGGAAGTTTAAAATAAACTCTGGGGCCTGGGTGATGGCTCATGCCTCTAATCCCAGCACTTTGGGAGGTGAGACTGAAGATCACTTGGTCCCAGGCGTTCAAGACCAGCCTGGCCACCATAGTGAGGCCCCCATTTCTACAAAAAAATTAACAATGAGCCAGATGTGGTGGTGCCTGCCTGTAGTCCCAGCTACTGGGGAGGCTGAGGTGCAAGAACTGCTTGAGCCCAGTAAGTTGAGGCTGCAGTAAGCCATCATTGCACCACTGCACTCCAGCCTCAGTGACAGAACAAGACCGTCTCAAAATTATGAATAATTAGTTAAAATAGAATAAACTCTGGGAGCCTCAGGTCCTTTATTTTTGAAAACGAGATATCTTGTAAAGTGGAAGTTTAACTGGAAAGGACACAGCATGTGCTTGGTGTCCAGTTAATAGATTGAGTTATTTAATGGATTCAGTCTGTTCGGAGGGTAGGCCAAATCTATGTTGTCTCTTTAATATTGGCTCATCTAAAGCTGCCTCAGATGTAAACACAGTGCTCTGCAACATTACCCTTTTAGTGAGTCACAGGAGGATCTGCAGGGCAGCTTGTCTTCCTAGTCCTCTTAGCCAGTAATAGATTGTCATCCCAGTCCTCTCTGCCATTATTCTTCATTAGCTGCATCAAAATTTCAAGCTGTCATTGTCATGTTTTTGAGCTTTCTTTGAAGTTTTTTGATGAAAAAATATTTTATAGATTTAGAAATCATGTTAGTGTAGTATGTAGTTGGTTAAAAAATTCCTTGAAGAATTTAGTTACAAGGACTGTTATCCTCAACACAATTTAATTTTAGTTCATTCTGTATTTTCTTTTTCTTTTTGCAGCTGTGGGATATGACCCCAGTTGTGTCTTAATGACTCCCCCAGGAATCAGAAAGCTAGTATTTACTAAAGAAATGGTTGTTTTAATCCAAATCATCACCAGAGCAGTAAAGCAGATGTGTGAGAAGTCAGAAACTGAAGACCCTGGATGAATTTGCAGATTACCTGTGCGTACAGTGGTAACCCAGCCAAGTGCACACTTGCAAGGGGACTCTTCCAACTTGTTCATACAATAGAAAAGAAGCTATTTTTTTAACAAATGGTTTATACGGTCTGGCTGTGCTGCATTGTTTTGACTATACCGAAAAATCTGTGTGGGGTGTTTAACTTTTATACTTCTCAACACTCCATTTTACTTGTTGCTTTGTGTGTCAGAGAAATAAGGGAAGTATCTATTCAGAGTATTTTGGTCATTATAGTTTCTGTGTTTTCTTTACTTCAACATGTGTCACGTGGCCAGGGTCTTTTTCTTATCTTCCCTCTGCATCTACCTGCACCTTCTCTGCCTTTACTGGAGGGGATGTTTTTACATTATTTATTCCAGTGTTTCTGCTTTCATGTCCTCCTCAGTGGAGACACTTGCAAACCCATCATATGGGTTCGCCAGCTGGCTGTGGGAATGACCTGAAGATTTGTTTGTAATGTCTGCCTCATTCATGTTCTTATTAAGTAGAAAAGACTGTGTTTCTGCCTCAGTTGCCTCTGTCTTTTCCATATTAAAAAAAAAAAAAAAATGCTGTGAGAAAGCTGCTCCCAACCATGGTTATCACAGAAGTAGATTATTTTAACTCAGAGCTTCAATGATCAGTGCCTGGATCATTTAGAATTCAGTTGGAGCCTCCTGAGCCTTAGTTTTTTGACACAGCTCTTCCTCATAACAATGAAAAAAGAATGACACACACACAGAACCCTACATCAGCAGTCCTCAACTTTGTTGGCATCAGGGACCAGCTTCAAAATGAAACTGTTCCACCTCAGACCATCAGGCATTAGATTCTCATAAGGAGAATGCAACCTAGATCACTTGCATGCACAGTTCACTATAGGGTCCGTGCTCCTATGAGAATCTAATGCCACCGCTGATCTGATGGGAGGCGGAGCTGAGGCAGTAATACTCACTTGCCTGCTGCCCACTTCTGATGTGCAGCCTCATTTCTCTCCTCACAAGCCACGGACCAGTGCCCATCCACAGCCCAGGGTTGGGGACCCCTACCATACATGCTCTTAAAATAAGTGTCTTTAAGATGTGTTTTTCTGTGTGACATCATCTCTGAACTTGAATGTGTTCATTATAGCAAGGTTGTAATTCTGCTGTATTCCTCACCCTCTGTAGTCTGTCCCTTTAAAAACTAGATATTTTTCATCAGAACACTTTGCACACTTTCTTACTAAAACAGTATGTGATTGGTCCGAGACAGGTACCTACAGTGCAGGCTGTGTTCCCATGGGGAATGGAAAAGAGGACTTCAGAGAGTACACCTGAAGAACTCTTTTATCTAAGGGAGTCCAATCAAGCTTGAGAAAATGAAATACTCTTGTGTGTAGTGGCTCAACTCAGGATATTGAAGTCCTTTTTAAAGTCTTATTTCACCTGTAAAAATGGAAAATTAATGGAAAGCCTGCTCTGGGTGCCTGCCCCTCCTAAGCACTTTACACATACTACAGCTCATTCAGCCTCGTGTGCCCGGAGCATCAGGGAGCTCACCAGTCTCTTGAGGATCACAGGCCAATTGTTTGTCCTTCCCGACCCAAGCCCCACCTCACAGTGTCTTGCCCTCTTCTGATTTTGCAGGTTTTTGGTGGTAATACATATGGAAGTGAAATTGAAATCCCCCCTATTATTTTCCCTCTTTTCCTGGAAAGCCGTTTTTTGCCCTCACAATCATTCATTCCTTCTCTAACTAGGGGGAAGCACTACAAGCCATCCTCACTACTGCCCCTACGTGTGCTTTCTTCCTAGAGGTGATTCTGCTGCCCCAGCATTGGGAAGTAGGACCAGCACGTGTGTCCCATGCAGCCATGGTCCATGGCAGCTGTTGCCTGAGCCATCAGACCAGATCAGCCCATGTGACCAGAGCCCTGAAGAGGCACACACGCATGCACTGCACAAGGCTGTTAGCGCTTGTCACTTCACTGCCCTGGTCCACACTACCCTTGCTTGCATCAGTCAAAACCATTATAACTACTTGGAGTCTTTTCTGCATGATTGCTCCGTGAGAGAGCTTTAATAAGGGAATGAAATTTAAAATATTCAAATATCTATTTTGTAGTTTATTACTAGAACCTGCAGCCACTTGCTAAGTTGTATGTAATAGAGGACTGTGTGTGGAAAATGGGTAATAGACATGAATCACTCTACTTTCCCTTCCTGAACTTTGAGCTTGGCCTGTCTATAGAGAGAGGAACACAGTATTAGGACAGTGAAGCCACAGCAAGCCTGTGTGGGTTCTGAGATGGGTCTAGATGCGTTCAGACCTCATTCGGGAAGCAGTGTCCTGTCAGATTGCGTATGTACTCTACAGTGGCTCTGGCCTGTGGCCCTGCATGCCACTCTACCGTCTCCCTCCCAGCCCACGGAGCCACTCAGAGGCTGAAGCCACTTGACATCTCACTGGTGTGGAGAATCATGATCAAGAAACCATGGATAAGTCAAGGTATCCATTGCTCTTCCTTTTTCTCTCATCTGTGTGGGTGCTTGAATTTGGTGAAATGCGTTTAGCAAACCAACTGTATGTCTGTAATACTGTGAATTCTTGAGTTTTGCATTAACTGTCTCCCCCATTTTTGTAATTTGTAGAGAAATATGTACTGGTGTTGAGTGTCTTCCAAGCATTTTATGGAAATGGAGGCTCCATTCCTTAGGAGTGAAAGCCGGCGCCGGCACTTGGCTTTGTTCTGTCCAGGTGAACTCTCATAATTCTTGTTTTACCCTTTGGATTTGCACTTTACATATATTTTTGCTCTATTACTTAAAACATATAGCAGCTCTTGCCAATAATGCCTAACGTGACTGTGTTGAGAAAGTGGCAGATCGACACATATCATACAGAGTTGTTCTCTGCCTGGCGGGACAAAACCACATGCTCTCGGTTCCTCCCAACGAATGACATTACTTGACATTACTGCCTGAATGTGTCTTCACAATAGCAACATTGTTTGAGATTAAGCATTTGGAATCTTGTGTCATTTTGCATGAGGTCAACCCACCATAATGAGTTTCTCATTTGATTGTTTTAATTATTCAAGAAATCATGAAGTCACAACACAGGAAGGGATCTTCAGAGATCTAGAGTGTTCCAAGCAGAAAACACATTTAGTTATATACCAGGCAGTTAGCTATGGCTGAGATGTAAACAAGAGAATCTAAAAGAATGTTCAAGGAATAGCTGTTTTTGAACATTACTTAGTAATGGCATAAGTGGGAAGAGAGATTTTCAGCGCCCTGAGACAGGGTGCTCTCTGGAAACAGGTTTGTTCCTCTTACTGCAAGTGTATATGACACTTATTTTGGCCCCAGCCCTGTGGTGGGGGAGGTAATTATTGCCCTCATCCACATAAATTCCTTCCTATACATCCCCCTTAGACCACTCCAGGGACAAAATTGAAACGGAAATCTAGGGGCACTTAAAATTCACCCTACCCCATTTGGCCATGATTCCTGGGCTTACAGCACTGCCCTTATGGAATATTATATTTTCATTTTCTGAGATCCATTTTATAAAAGTGTAGGCCAGGTGCCATGGCTCACACTTATAATCTTAACACTTCGAGAGGACAAGGTGGGAGGATCACTGAGCCCAGGAGTTCAAGACCAGCCTGGGCACCATAGCAAGACCCTGTTGCTACCAAAAATTTAAAAATTAGTTGAGTGTAGTGGCACACTTCTGTATTCCCAGCTACTCAGGAAGCTGAGGCAGGAGGATCACTTGAGCCCAGCAATTCAAGGATGCAGTGACCTATGATTACACCACTGCAATCTAGCCTGGGCAGCAGAGCAAGACCCTGAATAAATAAATAAAAGTATAATTTATTTTTGCCTGACATTAATCACTTCTTAAGGCCCAAATTTTGTTTTTTAAGCAAAAGGATAGCTCTAACTGTGGGTCACAGTTACTGGACGTTCACTAAATGAGATTCCTTTGGTTATGGCTATTCATAGAAGTTTAATTGTATGTAAGTGTTCCTGTTCACTAAGATTTATATTTCAAAGTGAAAGAAGGCACTTTACCAATACATTATTTTTTTCTCCTTTAAAATAATGTTGTTGAATTTTTCCTAGTATGAAGGCAGATATGTATTAACTTGAGATTCAAAAACGCAGAAATTAAGTTCATGTTGAACACTGAGTTATCTAGATGATCTTTGAGATTTGAATGTTCATATCAACCGTGCTGAGTGCTGACCAGGCTTTAAACTAGGCACTGGCGGTGCAAGGCATCTGAGGCCCATTCCCAGGCTGGGCAGAGGTCACACAGTGAGTAAATGGGTCATTTCAGTACAATGTGGTCGTGATAGAGGCACGCCAAGGGTGCCACTAACCCAGCAGGTATGGCAGGAGGAGCTTCCCAGAGGAAAGGACTTGAGCTCAGTGTTAAAGGATGAGGAGTGAGTCATAAGGGGGAAAAATGGAAATGACTTTTCAGGGCTTCAGAGATAGCATAAACAAAGGCTTGAGTGCTGGAGTCAGTGTGGTGTGTCCAGGGATCACAAGTGGGCTGGAGCTGCCGGAGAACAGCCACGTGGCTCAGCTACAGTGCCAGAACCAAGCTTGTCACCATCAGATGCTGCTGTTCCCTGGCCTCAGAGGAAGCAGCACACATCTCACCAGGAGGGGTTTCCCCAGAGGCTCCTCCTGCAGCCAATGCTACTATTAGTTTATATTATAATAGTATCAGTTTCTTTTTCTTTGGAAATCCCTAGAGCTGTTATCTGAAAACGACCCAAGATAACTAATTTTGGATCTTTGGGTGCACAGCCTCTCACTGGAATCTGGGAGGAGGTGGAGACTATTACATGCACAGCCTGCAACCAGGAAGGACTCCCAGACTAACGCCAAAAATGTGCTGGGCTCAGCTGGTCCACGTTGGTAAAGGAAAGCCCTGGACCTGCGGCAGGAAGGGATTGTTCTATTGAGTGTGACATTGCACCGACAGGCGGTGCCGCGTGTTTGGGTGCAGCTGCTGCCCTCCAATTCCTGCTCCTGCAAGTCGCAGATCATTCCAGTCCAATGTGGGGGATCCTCTTCACAGGGGCACTTGCAAGGGGAAGGGAGAGATTTTTGTCAATTCATACACAGGTCTGCCTGGGAGACCCAGTCCTGTGGAGGCAGGAACACTGCACCACATGGGGGCATGGCAGTGCCTGTCTTTGCTATCACATCATTTGCCTTTTTCTTGTAGGACCCAAAGATCTATGTCCAAAACAGTCCAGAAACATCTGTGTTCCTGTTTAAACTGCAGCTCAGATTCATAACCAAGAACCACATGTCAACCCTTCAGGGTTGTGGTTTGTATTTTTGCCTTTAAACATTATCCTTTCCACCAAGAATCCTACTTAGGTTTGACACGTGAAAGCAGTGTCTAAAAATTAGATCTGCCCTAAACTGGAATGGGATGTCTTCCTTGCATGTCCCATACTAGGGATTTTTTTTTTTTTTTTTTTTAAACAAAGAGTATGTAGCCTTTGCCAGACATGTTGAAAGGGAGATGAAAGGCTTGAGTAAGGGATGAATTGAATCATCATTCTTAAGGTCCCTTCCAGTCCTGTGACTCTATGATTCTATGAGTCTTGTTTATTACCGGACTTGCCTAACCCATTACCAGTGACCTGCCCGCATATTGCTGCCTTCGCTTGGATAAAGGAGAGTCTATCACCACATGCCTTTGTTGTCTTCCATCATATCAAGTGAGTTGCTTTCTGGACTTTTTCCATCTAGAGGCTACTAAGTTTGGTTTTGGAAAAAGATGAAGTTTCTTTTCATGAGTTTGTAGGAAAAAAAAATTTTTTTAAGATGGTAAAGGTGGAAATTAATCATGGTACCATCTCATTAAAAATAGATACCTCAAAATGTTTACCTTTGCAAGAATATCTGACTTGGAAGTGTCAGGAATTGCAGGTTGACTTAAAAGTTAGATTGGGAATCTGACCTTGATATTTATGATTCTTTTTTCCCTTGGTTATCGGGGATGCATGAGAAGGTGAGCGGTCACTCACAAAGGGAAAATGGTTTGAAAAATGTTTCTCATATATATAATCTTTTTATCATTTAAGTGGATGGCAGCCTTACATTGGTAGTATATGCCAATATGAAGTATGGACCAAAATACTAGTGTCACTCGTAACCATTGTACTCATGTATTTGTGTCTTATACCATTTGCCTTGCTTTTTAAATGACTTTGTTTTTTCAAGGTACTGTCATTTTGCAAAAGGAAATCTTTATATGAAAAGTACAAAAACTGTTACTAACTGGACAACAGGGAAGGTGCTGGCCCCACATTAGTGCCTGCCTACCACTCAACCTCTAACCAGGGACATGGATCTTCCATTCTGTACCTCCACTGGGCTGCAGCCCACTTCTGGACCTGGCTGCCGTGGGCATGTTACCGTATGGGCATCTTTTTCTTTTTTTGAAGTGAGGAGATTATTCAGGAGGTCAGGCTGAGAAGGTAATAAGCCTGACGTTGGAACAGATTTCTCCCGTGTGGTCTGGCTGGACCCCTCCAGCATTTGCCACTCCCTGCCAGTCCTGATCAGTCCTGACTTTGACTTCCTGAATGTGATTAGCTGGTAATGAGCAAGAATTTCCGAGAATGTTGAAATGTCTGTATCCAGGCCTCCATTCAAATGCTGCTGAATATTGTGAATGTTTTTACTCCGCTCACTTTCCCGCTGTGCTTCCCTCTAACCAAAATATACGTGTAGCTGTTACCAACGTACAACTCTCAGTGTGGAGTTGCCTCCATGGTTTAAAATACATGTCTGTGAAAACCTTGCTGCAGCTGTGGTCCCATCACTGTTCCATGCGGCCACACACACACTGACAACCTTGCTGTGCTCTTTAGCCGCATGGGTTCTGTCCATTTGGTGGGAAGGGGGCTTCCGACCACTCCATCTGGTCTAGACGCCAGGGAGAGCTGCCGTCTAAAGGTGAATTTGGGCCCATTCACCACAGTCTAAGCACATATACGGGCTATGCGCAGGGAGCCCTTTTTCTTTGTCATATAAATCGGCTTTTTCCTGCGTTTAGTGAACTTTCCAAATGAGGACTTCAGGGCAAACACTGCCAGAGAAAGCCTCTTTTAAAACTTGTGGGGTTCATTTTATGGAGAAGAAAAATAGGTACAAAGATACCAAGTGACCTGCCTGTTATGGAATCACCGTTGAGGGGGTGGCTGAGTTGCCCTGTCCTGGTGCTGCCAGCACAGCCTTGCCCACACCCAGCACTGCTGAGGCCCATCTTGCTCCTGCAGAAAAGGAGGCATGCAGTTAAATGGAGCTGGTGCGTGCTTGATAGCACCACCTTTTGTCAGAAAGACGCCGATGCTGATGTTTCAGGCTGGCACATCCAGAACAATCCCTTCCTTGGGGTCCTTGGCTGATGAGACACTTCCATCCAGGGCTCAAGGACCACCAAGAAGCTGCAGCCATCTAAGTTTTCCTCTGGGGTATGAGTTATGTTTATTCCACCATGGACACCAAGAATCTATGTAGATATATTCTAAATCTGCTCATTGGTTTTGTTACAGCTTTCCCTGGAGTCACTAAGAGGTAAAATGCTACAAATTAGAGGTTTTATCACAGTATAGTTCCAGAATGCCAGATGCATTACAGAAGCCACTCCTAATCTTAAGCAAATGTAAACTAGGCCTCATGTAAATGGTGTATGTAAATACACATTGTCCCTTGGTTATGCTGTGCTCCTGGTACCATGAACAGCAAAGGCAGTGCCCAGCCCTCTCCTGCAGGGGGGCCCAATACCAGCCTCTGACACTGAGGATCTGAGAAAGGGAGGGGAAGCACAGTCCACAGTGGGGCATTCCTGCTACCTCCACCCCTGCCTCCCCTCAGACTGACAATGGTGGCTCATCTCAAACTGCAAATTCTTTAGAAAACTACATTTTCAAATAAATGAGAGACTTAAACAAGAAAAGAGCCTGCTGCAGGAGTTCAGGGTGAGCCTAATCACAGCCCCAGTAGGATTTATTTTGAAACAAAAGTTCCCATACCTTGTAGGCTCCTCACTGTAAGGCACAACATCTTCAAGGGGAAGTTGAAGTGGGGTCTGTTCACTGGTCCCTAGACCACACCTTCTGGTACTTTCTAAGGCAATTCTGATACCACATTGCATCTGGGTTGGCCTATTTAAATGTCTGAGCCAGCTGTTCTAGGATTTCAATGAGTTTCTCTTCTTCAGCCGGTGAGGAGAACGTTCTAGCGAGAGGCAAGTGTGTAGAGACTGGTTTCCGATCTAAAAGTGAGAGGGGAAAAGCGGAAACGTGTTAGCCGCCACAGCGGGGCTGGGCCTCTGTCCTTGTGCTGCTCAGGCCCTGAAATGACACCTGCTGGGGAGGGAGTGGTGGTGCCCGTGGGTGTTAGACCCCATCCTGCCCTCAGAGGTCCCACATGGATTAGGCAGCGTGGGTCGACTGTGAAGTGCAGTTTGGGAACTGGCAGGCTGCACCCAGGGCTGGGTGGGAGACCACGCTTCAATGATCAGCGAGAAGGGGCACGGCCATCCTCCCAGACACCCCATGGGTCACCAGCACTTCAGGATCCCTCAAGCAAGGTGGTTCTCATCAAGAAGAAAGAGAAGCAGAGCAAAGAGTCTGGCTTCCACCCAAGGTCAAGTGTTCTCTTCAGATGGCATGCACCATACCCCTGCCCCCTTAGGAGCCCACTGGAGAGAGACGTGAACAGATCACTGCTTCCAAAAATAGAGTCGAGTTGATTACTTCCTTTGCACTGGAGCTTTGAATAGCGTCCCTCCGGGCCTCAGGAAACTGCAGAGAAAATCCCCAAGGTAGGAACTGCCTCTACGTTGTCTCCACAGGACCTTGATGACAGGGTTATCACAAGTCTTCAAAGAATCTACCAATCCGGGGTAAAGCACTTCCCAAAACTAACCTCAGCAGGCAAAGCAATCATCTCGCCAAAGAAGCCCAGGCACCCTCCAGGGGTCAGTCCCAATGTGTGTTTCACGGAGGGGAAGGTGGACCTCTAAGGCCCAGCTGCTGCCCCCAGCCCTGTGTCAGCTGCCTTCATAGCCAGGGAGGAAGTCACCTTGAAAGAAGCAGCCACTGGGCTGCGCGGCTGCAGCGGAGGAGAGGGCCAGCCACAGCACTGTGTCGGCGCCCTGGGCGTCGGAGCGCAGGCGGTCCCTGAACCTGGCATGGAACCCCGGCATCGCCTGCCTCACACCTGAGAAAAGGAAGGGGCAGGTGGGTTAGGACAGAATTCTCCAGCAAAGGTGGTTGACTTCCCTTACTAGAAAAAAAAAAAAAGTGTAAAAATGAAATTGGATCATAAACTGCTCTTTCTACTTAAAAGTAGCACTCACAAGCCATTCCAAAGAACCTTGTTAAAAAGCCCTCGAGGTGTCCCTGATGGGCCTGATTGAGTCCCCATGTCCCCGGGACACCAGCACGCAAGCCCAGCGCGAGAGCAGAGTCTCCAGCAGAGCCCCCCTTTCCACCCTAGGAGAGGATTCTAATAAGCGGTGGGGCCCACAATGAGACTGGGTCGAGCAAACCTTCACTCCGCCTCCTGGGTTCGGGTGCCCTCTCAAACCATCCTAGGCTCGGAGAAGCCCGGCTGTTGGTTCCTTGGACTGTTTTACTATTTTCCTCTTTTTAGGGAGGAGTGGATGAGGGGAGCTAATTCTTCATTTTCTCTGCCAAGCCCCTCGAGGTGCCCCTCCCTCTGCATCCCAGGGCTGCAGGGAGGTGTTTGCCTGGAGTAGCCTGCCCGGGCCTGGCCTGTGCCGCAGGTGGCCCCAAGCTGGCCGCTCCACCTGCCCACGCCTTCGAGGACCCAGCCACGGCTCTGGCTGCAGGCCACACACCATTTCCCACAGACCTCAGGGAACACAGTGTCTCCACAGTGAGCACATTGGGAAACAAAATAGTTCTCTCTTGAAGCCAAGGAAAGAAAAGAAACCAGAGAAAACAACTATTAAGAGCCTTACTGAGATCATGAGCTTTTAGAGATTGAAAGGATCACCTAAGCTAAGGCCCTCCTTTTTAAAATTAAACATCTTTTTTCTTTTTACAGAAGCAATACTTGTTAATTGTGGAAAAATCAGAATGCTCTGCTAGGCAAAAATGAAAAAATCTGAAAACCTGGTGGTGTATCACTCAGAGGTGACATATGTCCACATCCTCAGCCCTCGCAGGCCCCTGGGGCCACAGCCAAGGTCGTGTGCACCTGAGAGCCGCTCTCTAACCTGTGAGCAATACATGGTAGACCCAGATTACAGATCCCAGGAGAAGGCGTGCCAGGCAGATTTTAAACATCTTAGCTGATGTTGGGATTCTTAGAATGGTATCCTTGGAGGGTAAGAGGCTAGGGGTCCCCCATGGTCTCCTAGAATTCACCCTGGACAGGCAGAAGCAAGCATGTCTCCCATTAGGCAGTCAAAAGAATGGAGAAGCCACGCTCCCTGAGCACTCCCCTGGTGCACTTTGCTGAGAACATCCTTTTTGTATTTAAGACAGGAGGCTCTCATCTGTGCAGCAGAGGGCTAATTTCTGCCAAATCTCCAAGCTGGTCTCCATGGGATGTCACAAAGCACCAGTGTACACCTTCTGTAGGGATGTGGTAGTCACAAAAATAAGATCACAAGGTGTGTACTATTCGGGAACTTAGTGTCTTCATTTAATGATATAGTGCACACAGGGGTTTTTCCATAAGCATGATTGACAGCAGAGTCTTCAGCCCTAAACAGATTTCGCACAGGTGTTCCATAATTTATCAACTTCATCTCCTACCACCAGCACTGTGATAAGCAGTGCTTGTTTTCCCAATCCTTATTTCTTAGGATGAATTTCAATTCTGATATTCAGAAAGGCCGTGCCAGCAGTATGTGAGAGCCTAATCCCCAATACCTCCTGGCCAGGACCAGCTGGGAGGTCTTAGCCTCTCTGGGCCTCAGTTCCCTCATCTGTAAATGGGTATGATAACAGACAGGTGTGGCCACCCCATGGGGGCTGTTAGGATGAGTGAGTGAATCCGCAGACAGCACTGAGACCAGCTTTTGGCACCGCGGGTGCACCCTAGGGTGTGTGCTGTGGCTGCTGCTGCTTTTAGTTCCCTTATTTGTGGAGGAGGAAAGAGCTGCAGAGAGCTCAGGTGAGCTGCCCGAGCCCATGGAGTGAGGCAGACTGGAAAAAGAATTCTCCTTCCCTCCACCGCTGCCCCAACACGCTTCCAGATCATTCGAACTGTGTCCTTGTGGCTGTCATTTACCTTCAAGCATCATTATTTCCAGAAACCTGGGGAGTAGTGAGGCAGCCTGGGCCTCTCTCTCTGCCTTCCCTCAGGCCCTGCTCATTCCTGTCTGACATGGAAATGACCGTGGTCAACAGCTCCCTCTTGCCAGGATGCGCTGTAGTTAGGAGGGTGACCCAGCAGCGCCTGCTCTGGTTCCCACCATCCCCTTCCCTGACTTGCACAGGGCAAGCTGCAAGCAAAAGCTGTGTCTGCATGAGGCTTCCCCCAGGTGCAGTCCCAACGCGCCCCTGCCTAAATGGAAATGAAGCAACTCCTCAGTCCTCATTACACTAGTTTTAGGTCATTCCTGGGGAGAGTCAATCCTGCGGCTGCTCAGGTATTTTTAGATGAAAGGTAAGTGGCTCAGCAATTAAAGGCTATGACATACCTGGGGTGTCGGCCCAGCCAGGATGCATGGAAGAAAAATGGATGGCCGGGTGCCCTTGGGCCCACTGCTCCGTCAGAACCACTTGCTGCCTCTGGACAGGAGAGAGGGGGTGAACAGGAGAGAGGAGGCGCCATTAGGTACAAGGGCAGGAGATAAGCCTGCCCAGCCTGCATCTCTTACACTGGACTCTGCAGTATGTATGGCCCCTTGATATCACCCTTGTCCAGAATCACTCTTGACCCAGAAGGTCTGAGTAGGACCTAGAAGGCTCTCCCTCCTCCAAAGGAGGCGAAAACAAGCAACAAGCAAATCCAGCAAAATGCTGTGAAAGAGGAGAACAGCAGACCCACCACCCATGAAATTATGCCCTTCAGCACCCAGGTGTTCCTCGTCCACAGATTGCCTCTTTGACTCTATTCTTTGATGCTCAATGAGGGCAGGGGTGGTATCTGTCTTGTTCACTGCTGTACCTCAGGCCCCCAGCACAGACTGGCATGGAGTGGGTGTTCTGCTCATATGGGAATTAAGGCCAGGTGTGGTGGCTCACGCCTGTAATCCCAGCGTTTTGGGAGGCTGAGGCAGGTGGATCACCTGAGGTCAGGAGTTCAAGACCAGCCGGCCAACTTGGTGAAACCCCATCTCTACTAAAAATGCAAAAATTAGCCAGATGTGGTGGTGGGTGCCTGTAATCCCAGCTACTCAGGAGGCTGAGGCAGAACCACTTGAACCCAGGAGATGGAGGTTGCAGTGAGCCAAAAACAAACCCCTTCCCCCCCCCCCGGGGAAAAAAAAAAGAACTCCAATCAAAAAAAAAAAAAAAAAAAAAGGGAATTAACTCCTGCCTTAGGCAGAGCATAGCAAATGTACTGGGAACAATGTACTAGAAAATATACCGGTTATAGACATTAAAATCCTTAAATACTTCCCTTTCCCAGCTGCAGTCACACGACTGCCCGTCCCAGGGCAGTTTGAGCATGCTTAGCAGAGAACTCCATCTCTGGGCCTCATTTATCACAAGTGGACGGTTTCTTTCCATGTCCTCTGGGAAAACTAAAGAAGTGCGGCTCCTTCAAATGTCAGGATTTGGAGTCATGAGATGTAATTCACCAGGATTTGGTCTGCGGTCAGGGAGCAAAATTGGGCACACCTGGGGCATACAAGCAGACGTGGAGGCGCAGAGTCCCAGACAGGGCCCCCTTCAGAAGGCACACAGTACCGACAGGGAAAGCGGAGGGGCTGGCAGCCTTACAGACAATGTGGGCGCCCTACCAGGTGAATTTAAGGGCAAGAACTGTAAATATGGAAGTTATATATATCCGGCTTTTAAATATAGCTGTAATAAGCAGAGACACAGCAGTACAGGTTGAGCATCCTTCATCTGAAATGCTGAGGCCCAGAAGTGTTTCAAATTTCAGATTTTTTCAGATTTTGGAATATCTGCATATATATAATGAGATACCTTGGGGATGGAACTCAAGTCTAGACACCTTATACAAATAACCTGAAGGTAATTTCATAGAATATTTTAAAAATAATGTTGGAGCCGGGCGCGGTGGCTCAAGCCTGTAATCCCAGCACTTTGGGAGGCCGAGGCGGGTGGATCACGAGGTCAAGAGATCGAGACCATCCTGGTCAACATGGTGAAACCCCGTCTCTACCAAAAATACAAAAAATTAGCTGGGCATGGTGGTGCGTGCCTGTAATCCCAGCTACTCAGGAGGCTGAGGCAGGAGAATTGCCTGAACCCAGGAGGCGGAGGTTGCAGTGAGCCGAGATCGCGCCATTGCACTCCAGCCACTCCAGCCTGGGTAACAAGAGCGAAACTCTGTCTCAAAAAAAAAATAATAATAATAATAATAATAATAATGTTGTACATGAAACAAAAGGTGTGTTCATGGAACCATCAGAAAGGAAAGGTGTGGGATTTTCCACTCATGACATCATGTCAGCACTCACAATGATTTGGATTTTGGAGCATTTTGGATTTGGGATTTTCAGACGAAGGATGCTCAATCTGTAGAAATCTACTTTCTGTTCAGAGTAGTCAAGGGTTCTGGCCTCTGGCCTCTTCAGTCCCTCAAAATTCCATGTGCAGCCCTCCCAGTGAGCCTGGGCATCTGTCTAGCCAGGGAGCCAGAAGCTGCCCAGAGTAGAGAGGAGGGACCTCATTCTCTCTAAGCAGCACAGGACAGTGGATCTCCCTGCTAGGATTCTGTTCTGTTTGGGTCTGAGAAACATCGAGAGGAGACATGGCAGCTTTGTAGCTTCTCCTCGGATGCTGCTGAAAGCCCCCCAGGCCTGAGCAGAGCTGTGCTCCCCAAAGAGGGGCCCTCTTAGTCCGGAAACATTTTCAGGTGCTACATGAACTACTAAGGTCCAATTTCTGTGCATCCCAGAGTCAGCTTTCCTTGGAAGAGGGCCCGCACAGCCCGTGGGTAAAATGCAGTCTTGGGAAACCCACATCACGGACCTTGTTTTGTGCATAGACCATAGTTCCATCAAACGGTGTTCTTTCAGACTGGAGATCATCAGTGTTCAGTTTCTGAACCAACATTCCTCCTGAGGAGACGGTTATCTGCAATAAAGGTAACAGATTTACAAAGTAAAGCCTGTGACCCCTTCCACTCTTCGCCCTCTGTGGAGCAGTGAGTTTGCTATGGCTTGACACAGCACATGTATTCTCCCTCGGCTCTGGAGACCAAAAGTCTGAGATGGGGCTCATGGGGCTAAAATCCATGTGTCAGCAGAGCCGTGTCCCCTCTGCTGGTTTCAGGAGACTCCATCTTTTGCCTTCAGCTTCTAGAGGCTACTCCTCGGCTCACAGCCACATCGTCCACCCTCTGCTTCCACAGTCACTTCTCCCGTGACTCTGGCCCTCCTCCCTCCCTCCCTCCCATGGGACCCTTGAGACTCCATCAAGCCCACTTGGATACTCCAGGACATGCTCCTCATCTCAAGACCCTGAACTGAACTGCAGCTGCCAAGTCCCTCCTGCTATCTAAAGGTGACATAGTGACAGGTTCCAGGATTAGGATAAGAACTTTTGGTGCAGGCTAAGGGGGTATCATTATTCTGCCTATCACAGCAGACAGAAGGCAGCCTCCATCAACTGTCTTCTTCCTGCTTTCCCCAATGTATGGTATTTCAACCCACTGGGGGAGAACAGGCTCCAGTAGCCAGTCCCTTCCCCTCTGAGCAGGAGAATCCCCAGGAAAAGCACCACCACCCTGACCTAAGCGCCCTACAAGCCGCCCCTGCTCTTCAGAGGCCTCCCTCCCCAGTGCTTTGCCGACACCCATGTGACAGCTGGGGGTGGGGCCGGGGGGTTCAGAGAGGGCTAGGGTCTAAATGTTCTCTTGGTATGCCTCCACCTCCCTCTTGCCCTCCCCCTCCCTAACAGAATCAGGGTTTTGCTGTGGATGTGGACAGAATGGCCCCCTTAGGGTAGCCTGGCAGCAAACCTGGGCCCACCAACTTCCCATCAGGAGCAAAATCCATTACTCTCAAAATATCCCACAAGGTCAACTCACCACTCGGGGGTCGTATTCTTTCTCCAGCACAGGGATCAGGCTGGTCGTGAGAATGTACACACCTGAGACAGCACACAGCATCCCATGAGGGGCTGCAGGAAGCTCCACTCAGGAGGTCCTGCAGGGCTGATGTGGGGCCTGTCTGCCCACACCCACCCCCCTCAAGAGGGCAAGTGGCCACCTGAGGGGCAGGCCCTCCTGAGGATCCTTTTCCCAGAACTGGAAGGAAGATGCCTTAGAGCCTCCTGTACCAACAGGAAAAGATGTCCACACTACAGATATGCAGGAAGGGAAAAGAAAACTGCCAAACAGCGGGTGGATCCACTTTGCAGAAGAGAAAATGCATCTACGTGTCCAGTCTGTGCACAGAAAAATGTGATGATGAAATTAGCAATACTGCTTAGGTCTCCAGCAGGGAATTCAGTAAAACTTTTCCTTCCTTTGCTATACATACCTGCACTGTTTGGATTTGAGTATTTTTAGTGAGGATATATAACTTTATGGTTATATCTTCAATCAAGAAATATACATATAGCATTTCTAATGGAATGAGAAAATCACTGAAGTGTATTTGACATGGAGAGACATTCCTAATATACGGGATGAGAAGTTACAGAACGGTGGGAAAACCACCATTCCATTTTGGTGAGGAAAGATGTGTCAAGATGAAGAGAAAGTGTCTGCAAGGATGAGACTGGTGCCCTGAACGGTGACAATGCTCATCTCTGAACGGTGGGATTATCACTTCTACATATTTCTTATACGTTCTATATTCTCCTTATGCATACCTGTATATATTTTTTTAAACAATGAGCACATATTACCCTGTGCTAAGAGGGTAATATGGGGAGCATTTAAAGCCCCTTATCCCAAAGTGAGGCAGGAATCTAGTTAAGGGCTTCAAGTGGCGAGCCCTGGGCTCTTTTCTGGGCTACGCCATGGAGCTTCTGTGTGACGAGCTGTCACCACCGCTTCCTGTACCGCCCGTGACGTGGCCTGCACCCAGCCTGCAGGAGCTTCCTGACATCATGGGAAGGGTGCTGGAGGCAGATCCAGGGGCCTGTCTCTCAACCCTGGCTCTGGCACCTACCAGCGGTGTGACCATAGGCAAGCGCCATGGCATTTTCAGGAGATAATAGCTGGCCAGCCCACCTCACAGGATCAGATGAGTTTGTGGTGGAATAAAAATGTGTGCATGTTCTGTGAGGACTGGAAAGTTCTCTGGGCAGGCCGAATTTGTCCTGCTCTTGCTGTATTATCATTTGCGATTCTGAGTTGTGACTTTCATCCCAGACAGCATGCTTAGTTGTTAATGGCGCAATTTATTTGGAGGAGCCTGCCTTGTTCGTATTTGTGGATTTGTAAAGTCTCCTGAACCCTGGGTCGCTAATAGCTATTAACCTCCAGCCAGTGGTCTTGGACTTTCTTTGTATTCACCTCCGGTGGCTTTCTCTGTGATTTAATTTATGACAAGTAGAAAGGACTTCTGCCAAAAGCGATCTGCCCCATCAGCCTGCCCTGACGGGTTGTCATAAATAGCTCTTGCGAGGAAGGGAAATGAAAGCCGGCGGCTGGGCTGGCTCTGCTGCCTGCTGAGGGCACCTCCTCTCTCCTCTCAGAATGGTGAGAGCTGGGGTAAGCCCCTTTGCACCTGTCATCCCTGCCTGGGAGGTGCTCGGCTCTCATTCCCAGTCACCTGCAGGAGGGCTGGCCAGGCTGTTTGTCCCTGCCAAGTACTCTGTCCTCTAGGGGACAGCCAGGTAACAGATGCTTTAAAAAAAAAAATCCTAGAGAACCAGCACAGTTTCTAGCAGTGGGCCTTTCCGATCTTTTTTAAAGTCTTTCTCCCCAAGTCTACAAAAGGTTCCCATGCTCACCCAGCCCCCAAAGGGAGCAGAGCTGAGACAGTGCAAGTTTCTGCTCACTTCTAGCTTCCTGGGTCACCAAAACATGCCTAATTCTTCACGTCCAGCAGGCATTCCTCCCCCATGAGATGACAAAGCAGCTGTCTTCCTAGCTACAAGCAATATATAATCCTCCAACCTCCGGCAGGCCTTCTGAGACCCTTCCTTTCCAGGCCAGCAAAGAGAAACACAATAATAATCTGCTAAAATAATACAGTACATAAGTACGTAAGTGCATACATATGTGTGTACACATGGATGTATGTGTATATATGTAACCTATTAATGAAAGAATTAGAGTTACAGAATCCCAGAGAGGTTCAGTGACTTATCCAAAGTCACAGCAAATTCATACAATGTGGAAAACAGAGGGCAGATCTCCCTTTTCTTGGGTCGTTTAGCATGCTGCATGCCAACCTATGCCAGGGAGAAGGAAGGTGCCCATCATCTGCAAGTCTTTCTTTCCTCAGTGAACATGGCACCAGCTGCTCCTTGCCCAGCTCACACGGATCCAAACAGGGGCCTGTCATTAACACATGAGCCAGCGTCACTCTCCTGCCCCCAAAGTCCTTTAACACTCTGGTTCCCCAACGAATCAAGCAAAAACTCAGCCTCGTCCAGTAAACTTCTTTGGGAGACATGCCCGATTCCCTCTCTTTAGGTAGGCCCCAAGTACATCCTGTTTATAACAACAAACACGAAACCTGAGTCTTTGACCTAGGCCAGGCTGGGTTTGTCCCATGTGGCCTTGACCCCACAGGCTCTCCTGGGGTCTGGGCCAGGAGGGTGACACCTGGTCCAAGCTGTCCCAGCCGAACTCTCTGTGCAGGATTGTGAACATGGGACGCTGAACAGAGGACAGGTGACTCAGTGGCAGCCATATGGGACCCAGACGCAAGGAAAAGCAGAGACGGGGAGTGAACAAGGCAGTTGTGGTAAGAGTCCATGGACAATAGTCCCAGGGAAGCAGAAGGTCCCCTCAGCTGTTGACAGATCTCCGGTCCTGTCCCTGGCCCCCCAAGCCCAGCTGTACCTCTGCCACTAAGTTCTGTAAGGGCTGCTCTTGCAGCCCATTGATAAATCATTTTTTTGTCTAGTCTTCCTGTGTGGGGTCCTGTTACTTGTGACCGCACAAACCCTAAGACACTTGGCTTGTCTCAGGAAGACCACCAGTTCTCCTGAGATAACCAGCTACCCTTTAAAATAAGAATGTCTCACCAGGCGCACAATGGCTCACACCTGTAATCCTAGCACTTTGGGAGGCTGACACTGGTGGGTCACTTGAGGTCAGGAGTGGAGTTCGAGACCAGCCTGGCCAACATGGCGAAAGCCCATCTCTACTAAAAATACAAGAATTAGTTGGATGTGGTGGCAGGCACCTGTAATCCCAGCTACTCAGGAGGCTGAGGCAGGAGAATTTCTTGAATCTGGGAGGTGGAGGTTGCAGTGAGCCGAGATCGTGCCAGTTATACTCCAGCCTGGGCAACAGAGTGAGACTCTGTCTCAATCAATCAATCAATAAAAAAATGTCTCTGGACAGACAGGTTAGGCATGCCTCTAAATGGTTAATGGGTGTTTTTAGTCATTCATAGCCTTGTGTGAACCAGTTCAACAACTTCCTTTCCTCTAAGACTTCCTATTAATATCAGGGACATTTGGGTGATTCAAGGTTTTGATGAGAGAAAGCGAGAGATATTTTAGAGTACTGAATCCCACGGGAGCGCAGGCCTGGGTGGAGGGAAGGCATCTTCAGCTACTGGAAAAGTTGCCCAAGGTTAGTCCTGCTCCCAGTAATAAGGAAAATAATTCATTATCATTAAGACTCATTAGTATTTTTAATTTACGCAATGCCTTTCTTCCAAGGACCTCATTATGTCGATGGGAGGTTCATTACGAGAAAGAGATCTGGGAGTGGAATTTATGTTGGACACAGTCTTCTAAATTTGGCAACAAGAACTTTTATCACATGGGTACATGACTCGAAGCAAATCTATCAGCTAATTAAGAAGGGAGGTAAAACTGTGTCAAGCCCAGGTAACGCTAAAGGAGAGATGCCGCGTGTTCTTAGAGCACTGTGAAACCCATGTTTGCGTCCTCCAAATATTAAATTCATCGTGTTTCTCAAATTATAAGGTATCTTATGACATTTTAATAGCATTAAAGGTAATTATTTTTAATGCAAAAAATATATTACAATTTTTAAACTTAGCATGGAAATCTGATTGGCATTCCTATTAAGAAATCTTCAAAGCCACCTTGAATTAAAGCTACTTTGGTTACTGGCCAGTGGGTTGTGTACTTCCGTCCATTCTGTCTGACAGAGAAAATCATTGTCCTGTTATTGCTGGGAAGTTTCTGGTGTCAATTTTAAAGGAGCAGACAGCTGCACTGGGGAACACCGTTTGGTATTTCTTTTGTAATGGTAACAAAAATATCCCATAGCGAGCCTGGGGGCTCACACACTAATCTCACTAATTATATAAAGATGATTTCAAAGATCACATTACATCACATTACCTGGAGAAGCCAGAAAGACAAGAGTCCCAGAGAAAATGAGCTATTAGAAGACATTCGAGGCACTGGCCTCTTATGGAGTATTCTTGGTTTAGGCTCAGAGGGTCGTCAGCATGAGTCACGCCTTCCCCTTTGCCCCCAACCTCAATTCATCCCCACCACCTTATCCAGTTTCATGGACTGAACAAGTATTTATCAAGGGCCTGCTGAGTGCCAGACCCAGTGCTAAGTACTCAGGATACAGTGAGGGCTCCCTGGCCTCTCAGTGCCCACCAGGCATTCCCAGGCATTATACGTGTTACTACGTGACTAACCCACACTCATGATCGAGGTAAGTGCTCGGCTGCTATGGGCACGTGGGGGTTCTGCATGAGCTGTGAAGGGATATTTCAGCTAAGACCTGGAGGAGAGGTGGGAAAAGGCAGGTGGAGGGCTGGGGATGGGACGGAGGGCTGCAGGTATGGAGCACAGCCTGTGCAAAGAGGCCCTGAGGCTGGAGAGTGCAACCAGGGCAGCTGCAGCCAAGTGAGCACGGCAGGGGGTAGGGCAAGGTGAGGCTGCAGCTCCAAGGGCAACGCCACATTCACTCACCTCGTGTGAAACCAAGGGGTGACTTTAAGCAGAAGGAAACAGATTTGCATGCA